AATTAAATCTAAGAATAACTTTTGATACGGGTTACGAGAAAGTTAGTGAACAATTTACAATTGTTAGATCCAATCCCATAATCGTCCTTTAGAAAACCTTTGAATTTTTACATAAGTTGTTTTTACAAATATATATAAAAAAAAAGAAAAGATTAAAAGAAAAAAACGGATTAGAATAGAAATCGAAAGAAGAAAAGAATAAAACAGGAAAGATATTGTGAACAAATGTAAAGAGCAAACTGTTGCTTCGTGGTTCAACAAGTAGATCGAATGAATCTTTGTCTTTTACCATTAACGTGTTTGATTTTTGATATCGTCGATGAAAAATGTTAGACAAAAAAATAAAAATTTTTCTTTATAATAAGATTCATATCTATCTATCGCGAAATAAATATCATTTTGTTTTTTTTGTTTTCTTTTTTAAAGGAACGAAAAATGGATAAGTCTTTTCTGTTTATATTATGAAGCTTGATCGTGCGAGTAATCGAGCAACCCTTTTTTTTCCCTTCTCGGTTCTTTGTCTTTACGTCTCATAAAGTTTTCCGTGCAATTGCTCTGTTAAGTTATAACCAACGTAATATTTTTTCCACATAGAAACTAACGCGAACAATTTTTTTCCACACTTCTCGGATAGAAATCGCGGCTTTATTTCAATACTTTTCGATACGTTGTGAAACCTTAAACAATTCTTTCTGTTCGATCAGAATATAATAAAAAAAAAAGAATAAAATAAAATTAAATTAAATTCATAACTATCGAGAAATATTTTCAATAAAAATGCAAACTCGTAGCAACAGCAAATTATATGTTCTTACTTTCTTAATTTACTTAAGTTAATTTATGTTACATTAAATAATAATGTGATCAATAATTTTCAACATTTGTTAACAATTTTGTATATTAACTATTGTTTTAATATTTATCTCTTATATATGATTATGATAGTAATAATGAGATAATAATATAAAATAATAAACTATTAAAAAAAGTAATAATAATAATAATAATAGAGTGTTGAATAACCTCTTAGAATAGTTTCATACAAAAATACACGTATGATAAAATATCGAGTGTCACAAGTTTTTAGCATTTAAAAGCATTGAAAAGCTCATTTTTGTATAACATTTTATCTTCATTTTTACTAATGAAATATGATAATAGAATTTTGTGAAGAATAAACAATAGGAACATTTCATATACATCTCGCATAACAATTATTCCGATATATTTAATAATAATACTGATTTTATTTGCCTATTCCAAAAACCTTGACTATTGATAATACTTTCAACATAATATTTATAAACGAAACGTTAAAATAAATAACATCGTTAACAAACTAACAACAATATCGTTGAATTATTAATAACCGAATTAACACGAAAGTAAGAACATTGAAAACATTTGTAAAAGAACAAACGAAACACTGTATATTATTACCACAAATGTATTACCGAAATATAACGAAAAATGTATAACGATGCACGTGTTAAATAAACTATTACATTATTTTAATAATATTACTCAAAAATTCTTACATAAGAGAGAGAGAAATCGTAACTTATGAAATAATAAACTTACACGAAAGCAGAGGATCGATAGAAGACGTTTAATCGTGCAAATGATCCGGTATTTACTGACTCTCCGATTTGAATGTCAACAGATGTTTGTCAGTAATAATCCAATACGAGGGACAGAGTTAAAACAGAATAATATGTTACCCATAATCTTATGGCGAGACAACACATTTACTATCAAGGTTGATACTTATCAAGAAATCAACAAATGATTAAAGAAAATATATTAGAATCTTATATAACACCAGTTCCCTTTAAAATTAAGAACTAATAACAATGAAAGTTATTCGTAATAATAGCAAAGATGAAGATAATCAATATTTTCTAAACGGTTTTCAATATTTGTCAACAAATTTGAATTTTAATCATAACTATAATATTTATTTAGAATAATAATAATAATAATACCCCCTCAGTAATCCCTACTTGTCGTAAGAAACGACTAAAAGGGAAACCCATGAAAAATAGAGGATATTATAATAATAATAATAATAATACAATTATTATATATCTAAAAAAAATAAAAATTATGTTACACGAGAAAAATATTTCATACAACGCAATTTCTTGTTAGATTTATATAACACGTAACACATTAACTGTATTATACGAGAGTCTATTGTAGTTTGAATTTTATTAAACAGGATTTAAATGACAATATCGTAAAATCAATGAACAATCGAACAAGTTTTTGTGTGTTCTTATTCGTTTCTATTTCCTCGTAAAATCACAAACGAAAGACAAAATTGTTTCTACGTTCGGTATCCTGAAATCCGTGAAAAGACATGGGTAGGAAGAAAATAGGGAAAAAGGTGAGATATATGTAAATGACAACACACGTGATAGGTGGAAAAAGATTAGTAAGGGTGAAAAAGAAAGGCACGACAGAAAATTACACTTTACGATTCAATTAGGTCGGATGAAGAAATTTGTAACCAAGATTGTATAGAAGTATTAAATTGTAAATTGAAAGTTATGGGTTAATCAGAATAGTAAATTGCCTGATATCTATATTGAATCAATATTTCTTAATTAATTTTTATGATAAAAATTTAAGTATGTATATATAAGTTCGAAATAGTAAATTAACTGATATTTACATTGGATCAATATTTTTTAATTATGGTTTGTTTTTATGATAAAAATTTAAATATATAATATTAGTGATTGGTTTATTTACTTGTTAGACAAAATTTCATGAACTTATATATATATATATATAT